GAATAGCGGGTTTTGAAGTTTCTCGGTTTCGACAATGATTTGTTCGATGCGCTCTCCCTAAAATGTTAAACCACCAGCTTCGTGCTGTTAAGGTTTTTTTAGTTAAAATACCGTCCTCACCGCAAGCTGGTCGTCCCGGCCCAAGGCACAGAAAAGCACATTTTGTCCGTTCGCGACGCCAATATTTCTACAGAATTTATGAAAGCCAACGATCCCTACATCGAATAAAATTCCTTCTTCCCTTCCAGCAATGAACTATAGTCTTTGACTGAACTGCAGACAAGCGTTTCCGTGGGGTGATCGTAGAGGACAATCGAGACAGCCTTGAAGCAATGGTACTTTCGTTTCGTGAGTAAACTTCATACTTTCCGATCCAGCGGGTTTCGTCCGCGTGCAAACCCCACAACCTAAAACAGTTCTGTTGGCCAAATGTCAAGGGAATCCCATTCCAGAAATGGAGCACAACGTAGACTTTACCACACAGTTGAACTTTGGTTCTCCGACAAGGAAGCCCGCTGCCGTGTCCATGTATGGGTTTTTGGTCCAACGCAGCTGTAGCACGTTGAGGATGCCTAAATTGGCCCATCGAATCCCTTTCTTTCCTAACCAGCAGTGTTTTTTGTTTTTATGCTCACCGTTTTCTGATGTGCAGCCCAAAGTGATCACGGTTCCGTTTCCCAACAAGCACAAGAGGCTCCGATCGGGCGGTACGTAAATCATATCGATAATTTCGTGTTCGCTGTGCTGTTGTATTTTTGGGCAAGTGAGCGCACCTCGTTTTGCGGGAATCACTATCTATACATCTGACTTGAGTACATCCGCTCGCGTTTGAGTAAAATAACGATTCCCTGAAAAATGGACGTTGTACTGATGTGCAAAACAGTTTTGCGCGAAACAAGGAACGGACCCCCAGGTGAAGATCGTATGGGTGTCGTCGCCGTTGCGTAAGTAAGCCGCCTTCATTTTCTGCCTCGGCAACTGTCCTCGCACGACGGGAATTTCCGTTCTAAGAAGATATTCCGGCGCCGGCTTGTGCATTATTACGAACTACAAATTGACAATTGGTTTTGAAATTTGATACTTCTACGATCGCCTTGTCGCCCTGCAAACGACGAAGCATGGCATTATGCAGCTCTGACAAAGATTCTAACCTGAGATACAGGGATAATTAGTGGCAAACAAACTTACGGCACGCGTGATTTTGAAAAATAGCTATATTCGGTTGGAAGGCAATAGTCCACATTGGATTCGCCATTCAGCGGGACATGAAGTCCATGGTAAAAGTCGCAAACTAGGCAAACTAGCAGTTACTGGCTATTTATTTTCTGGGTGACCATGCAAAAAACGGCGAGGTCAAATGTGTTATTAAAGGGATATAGACGGCATCGTTCGATCACCCCTGATCGACTTTTTGGCTCGTCGCCAACTGGGCAACGAACGCGCAGGGGCGAGACGCAGAGATGTTTTCTTTCCCGCGCGTCATCGATTACTTATGTCCCGCAAGCTACAAAAATCAAAGTCTGTGTCTGATCCTCCCCCCCCCCCCCCCCCCCAAGTGTTGCCCAAGAGCATTAAGCTATGCGGAATAATACCATATACTACCGTTTTTTCCACCTATCTCTTGATCGGCAACGACTGCATAGTGGATTCCAGCTTGCCCTCTCCGTTTCAGCAAAAACGTTAAGTAATACGGGTTAAAGTCAATGACTTTCTCAATTTGCGCATAAATGTGATGTGCATCATCGCAACGTGGCTGCATTGTTAAGTGCTGGATGTTCCCGACGTGACTAGAATTCGCGTGGTTAATACTGATTTGGCACAAACCCAGAGAAGGTGCCGTCTGCGAATAGGGTCGGGTTCATGATCTAAAGTCTCAAGTGAAAAATCACGCTGTATTTACGACGATCTGCTAACCCAAAATTATTTTGTTGACTGCTGACGGTTACTTGTTGCTTGTTATCCGAACCTTTTCGCTAGTCAGCGTCCATGGTTCAACTTTTTCATAAAGTACCGCATCGTCTCGGTATAGTTCGGTAAGGTCGACACGACTAAGGCCACCGTTCATTCCGCCCACAGCCTGTCAGATCGTTCAAATATTTTGTTTTACAATACTATCGAGTGGTTTGCAGACCCATCCCAGCACGTGATCCGCCCAACGCCCGGGTTTAAAAACTGCATACATTGGATCTCGTCATCGGTGACTTTGAAGTACAAGAATACGTCTATGTAAATTTTTGTGTATCAATGAGTTATGGCTACCGTTAACCGATACAAAAAGATCGTACATAACACCATTGTGTTCCCATAACCAGCCAAGCCGTAGGTGACGATTTGGGATTTCTCCTTCTGGGAGGTAGTCACATATTTTGGTTTCTGTTATCTAAAAATATATTGAGGTTGGAGGGGAATTGACGATTTCATCTCGAAAAAACACATGAAAAACTGCCCAAACCTGCCCGGATATGCCGTTTACGTACACAAGCTTAAACTTCGTTGCGAGGAAAATGCGCCCTCGATGGGCAATAATATCCCAGCCATCAATCGGCTCATCTTTTGGCTGAAACGCGAGATTTCCATCAAGTGTTGCGCGTTAAGAATAAATTTAGGCAGTCTTGAAGAAAAAGTTGGCTGTGCGAAAAAACTGTGCGACGCATTATTAATGCAGTTACTTCGGGATTTATAACGGTAACAGGTAACCTGCGTAGCATCGGATAGTTCTAAGAATTCTCACTTGCACCCAGTTAAATTTGCCTCCTATCGTCTTCTCTTCGCTCATATAAACCACTTCATTTGAGAATTCGATATAATAAGCATAGAAACACTCGTCAGGAGAATGGTAGATGTGCGCAATGGAACGACCGACGTTTCTAAAACATATTTGATAAAACCCAAGGGGTGGAAAAACTGCTTCGAGGCTTTTCCGCTTCGCGGCTTTTCAACCCTGGCCCCGTCTAGTAAGTGTTTACTTTGCATAACCCCGCAAAAGCCTATCAGCAAAATGTGAATAACATACCCTCCCTTGCCTTTTACACTTCCGGCGTATGCTAATTGCTAATTGTCCCTAACAAAAAAGGTGGCAAAATTTTTTACAATAACGTAATTTTAATAGCTAAAACAGCTATTTTTCAAAAACCTTATATGCGTGCAGTCGATTAGCCGCTATATACACTTTCAGCTATATGTAGTATTGTACAGTTTTCTAAAACACGCCCAGGAAATCCTCGAGCTCCTGGGCGACGCCAGACAGTTTGATTTAACAAAGTTTTGGCAATTTGCGCCCAACGCGGGAAAATGGCGCAACGGTGCTTAGGAGCCTACGGTCAATCGTGCGAATCCATTGATAGAAACTGATTTTACCAAATTCTTTTAATTGTCCAATCAAAGCTTTCTAGATTACTTCTTGGTACACTGTGAAGGCGCAGCAGCCAAGCTCAAGGTCTCTCCACCGATGTCACAGGCATTCTTCACTCTCATTACGATTGGCCCGTAAAGCTAAAATCGGGTTGGTATATTCACCCTGAAAATTCACGATGAGTTGAATGTTCGTGCCCCGCGTATAGGTGGTGAAGGTCCTTTGCAATGGAAAGTTGAAGCTTCGCAAGTCGATATTCTCATTCAGCTTTGTCATGTCTCTCACTTTCACACACGGAAAGTGGGGTACCGCATTCATCGGCGAGGCGCTAAAGTTTCCGCATTATGTTTGAAAAAGTATTCTACGATTCAAAGGTCTTCAAATACGTGGACAGTGGGTAGTGGAGGATGGCGTATTTTAGACACCTTGTGATGACGATTATAAGCGGGGCTAAAGTTAGTGAGAAAATTCCCACAAAAGTCACCAGCTGCCGGCGCGTTGATACAGACGATCTCTTCGCCATGCGAGAAAACCCGATAGAGACGTTGTTGCGATGAGAAAGCGGGCAATTTACCCACATCTTTTGCCTTGAGGAACTCGAGGTAGTGACCGATGCCTATGTTTTTCGGATTTGATTAGTAATACCGTTTTTACTGTACCGGATACAAAATAGAGCTCTCCGTCAATTTCCATAGACCGGAGAGCCGTTCGCGGTAACAAACATGGCGGGAACGAGCGTTCCATTAGGAATGATGTTGAAGATCACGTAGTTTCTAGATGCTGTTAGATGTTTTACCAACAGTGTCGCTAATAAACATTTTTTAAAAAACTTGTGAGACTTAGGAATATTGCAACCCTGTGATGGCTCTAAACGCGCGGGCCCGCTAGCCGCCGCCCCACTAACCGCGGCTTAGCGTAGGCCTATAATTGGTCCGCAAATCCGTACTTTTGATCGGACGCACGGACCAGAGGGTTGTTGTATCAAAAGTTGGTTTGAGCAAGTGCCGAGTTGACCGTAGCAAGGAAATAATGGTCTTAACTAACAGATCTTTTTTTAGACTTTTAAGTCTAGAAAAAATTAAAATTCTTTAAGCATAAACATAAAATAGACTATAGCTAGAACTGTGGAACGGTTCTTCCTACGTTAAAGCATAGCCTGAACCACATAGCAATATTATCTGAAACCTACTGTGTTGGCGAATACAGGAAACTTGTCGCTGGTCCTAGCAGTCGCCATGGATTGAATAGCTCGTCTGGCTCCAGCTCACCGTTATCCGAATGATTATCGTAACAAGAAAGGATAACTGGCAAAAGTGCGAGATATCTAAACTCCTTTTTATTTATTTATTTATGATACCTATTTACTCTTACAATACGAATGTTTAACTGTTTTTGAAATAAATGATCTTATCGTCGTTGTTATCCTGACGGGCACTTGTTCAACAATTGCAGGCAGCCGCCTAGATGTCGAAACTTTTTGGCGGCAGCCTCATTCTGGATAGCGAATACACCGGATGTTTCAGACAAAAGCTGCCCATTTTCACACCTATTTCCATGTTACCATTGTGGTGACAAGATAACATCACAAATAATAATTTATTAGACCCGTAGGATCGAAAAAACAAAAACGTTTATTGGATAAACTTTAATCGAGAAAGCCTTTTTTCTTACTTCGTCGTGGATCGCGACATGGACATCGGCGAATGATGTGCAACGCTTGCGGCCCGTACGCCATCGCATCACTTCTAAGCAAATTAACTTTTCTTGGGAACTTTAGGAACTTGATTATGAACCCAATAAACGACAAAAATGCTCAACAAAATCTGGAACCCAGGGGGGTACCCACTCAAAAAGCTGCATGACTTCCTTGAGCCCAAATCGGTCGTGCAGCGCGATGTGGCGCTTGTCGGACTGATAACCAGCGTCAAAGATCTGCATGCAACTTTGGAACAGCTCTCCTGCTCCTGGATTGTACAACGAGACCCAGCAATGCTCGTCAGGGCGCCGATAAAGTATGTGGATTTTCGCTATAAGTGTGAAAAATGGCTTAGATCGGAGAGCAACAAAATAATCGCCAGGGTAATAATTCTATTACCGCTGACCCAGTTACCTTGGTCCGACTCAGGGCCGTCGGGCAGCAACGGATACTGTTTGATGCATTTGACATCGAAACAATTTTTTTTGTCGGTCATCTAAAATGATGGTCGCTAATGATCATTAAAGCACGTTACCAGGCAGTCATAAAGGCCGAACTTGTGAAGCCGGTCCACCCAGAAGTGCGACTCGAATTTAAACGGCTTCTTACTTCCCGGCTCCCAAAACAGCGCTTCCTATAATCAAATCGGGTTAGAATTCAGTTAACCCCCAGCCGGCACCCAACTTTTGTATCTCCCTGTTCATCTTAAGGTGTGTAAAGTATACCAAAATGTTGAATTACTGTCATTTTTTCTAAATTCATTTTTCCCAAATTCATTTTTCCTAAAAATCATTTTTCCTAAAGATCATTTTTCCTAAAAGTCATTTTTCCTAAAAATCATTTTTCCTAAAGTTCATTTTTCCTAAAACCGCTTAAATATCGAAAAAGTCTCGGTTTTTTAGTATTATACATCCAAAAATTGACATTTCTTATAATAGATTTAGATATGCCTAGCGTGGTCATAGAAAGTATTTTAGTTGCGCGTTTAGCCTAGATTTGGGTGATTGGAAGTGAGAAAGGATCAATGATAATAAGAAAGGTTTTCGATAAAAGCCTACTAATAACCAAACCAAAGAAATGCTGCTTAAAAATGAGTGCATTTGGAATTTCTTGATATTTTTACGCATCCCTTTTAATGAAAAATTTTAGGAAAAATGATCTTTAGGAAAAATGACTTTTAGGAAAAATGACTTTTAGGAAAAAATGATTTTAGGAAAAATAGCTTCTAGGAAAAATGATTTTTAGGAAAAATGAATTTCGGAAAAATGATTTTTAGGAAAAATGAACGTAGCCCCAAATTTTTGTTCGCCTTGCTTTGGCGAGTATTTTGGTATACTTTACACATTTGTAGATGGACAGGGAGCCGAGATACGGTAGGTGGAGGTCGGCTGGGGAGGGGGCAAACTGAACCACAACCTCAAATCGAGTGGTAGAGCTATCACAATACCTCGGAGAAGCGTCCGGTCTTCGGATCTTTAACGTCCTGTATAATGACAGCACCGGGAAAGTTGCCTCCGTGGAAGTATATCTGAAAGAAGAGGCAAAATGAGCGTTGTGATGTTCGGCAAAAGGAGCGTATGCCTGCTGACGGCTGAAGGCATCAAAATACCTGCATTCGAGCCGACACGTGATTGCCGGGCAATTTGGTTGTCACCCACTCCTTCATTGTAGTCCCAATGCCGTCAAGGTCAAATTTGATTATTCTGTAAAAAATGCTTGAAACGAGGAAAAGGAGGAACCCTACCCGGCGTAAAACACGGTACTGTCGCCATCGAGACGCTTTTCACACCAAAACATCTCATTCCCTGTCGCGGGCACGCATTCCTTTAGGAGCTCATGTGTTTGTGGCTCTACCGTTGGCCGTGAGCATATCCGCATATTCTTGAAGTTGTCGGAAAAAAGCAGCTTTGTTAATACAGCCCGCTTCCAGATCATAATTCGCGGGAAATAGTCTACTGGAATGACAATTGCGTATTTGTAGGTTTATTACCTTTCCCCCCGGTACCGCGATGTTCAGAACCAGTCAGGATGAGCTCCAAAACCTCTACGCCCTCGCTCCCGAGCAAAACCATATAGGTCCGTACCGCAGGTTTACCATGGCATTGTGCCTTCACAACCTCAGGCTCAACACGAATTTTCCTATTACAGGAAGCTCTTACTGTAAAAAACGCTGCATCATAATACTCCATGGCCCAAGTGTGGTGGTTGGTGTCGACGATCGTCTCTGCAACCAGGTTTTGTGTATTCAAATCATACGTCCCTTTTGCGCACGTGGGCACAAAATATCGTTGTGGACTGTTAGCGGGAGGGGAACCATTCTGTACAGCCCTATAACTAAATCTCAACAATTCCTCGAAATTTTTGAAAGGGTAGGATTTTCTTATCGAAAATGTTTGAAAAATGTCAACATTTTCGAATTTTCTAAAATTTTTATGAATAGTTTGTCATATATTCCTATTATATTCCTTGCAATGAAAAAACTAAAAAGACCATAACAATACATAAGATATCATTAACAGGGATAAAACACAAAGTGTTCCCCCGCAAGAGTCCAGAACCCAAAATATTACCGGAGGTCGGGTCGTACACTAAGATCGAGGCCCTTCTTCCAAGGGCTACTAGCTAAAAGTATGTATTTAAATTCCTTTCTAGACTGCTTGCAATTGTGAGCCCGTGTTCCTCCGCATTCGCTGAGACAATTTTTTCGACTCGCTGTTGAATTATCGGGCGCTTCAGCATTACTGTGTTTGGAAGGGGTTCACTGTAGCCGGCCTAAACGGATTGGACCGGGGAAAAAGCCGCGCCTACATGGATGTCCGCCTTTGCCCCGTAGAAAGAACTAACAACGTCTGGGCCGATAAGTCTAAAAGCATTTCTTCGACTTGCCAGTGCAAGTGCCAGTAGTAGCCTTATTGTTAGCAAAGGAATGCAACTTACATGCCGAACAGGGCTTTTTCAGAATCAAACGCTTTCTCATAGTTCTTTACAGAAGCAAAGACGAGGCGTTCGGATTCCGCATCATATAGGACCAAAGAAATTGCCTAAAAGCTTTGGGCCTAAAGTTGCATTAAAGTCTCTGCCATGCCAAATACCCGATGTGTGATATACAGCTAATAGTGACCGACCTTCTGTCTTGCTAATGATTTGCGAGCTAATATCAGGCTGCTTGTGCCTTTAGCGCAGCAACACATTATACCAGCGCTGTTTTGCCGCCAAGCAAAATTTGAAAATTTGGACGTTTATTCTGATTTTCCTATTCTTTGTTTTCACGGATGGAACCTACAGATTTACAATACGGATTCAATCCGCGCCCATAGCCAAGGACCAGTTGCCCCAGATCATCTCCAGCGATCAAGGCCTTGGCGATAAACATGTAGTTATTTTGAGTCCAGCGGATCGGCACAGTTTGAAATTCTCCTATGGGGGTTTTCTGGTTTGTAAACATGGAGCTAATACCAGACTCAAACAGACACTTCAAGGTCATTACGGTTCCGCTGCCAAGCAACAACATTAAAACCTGATCCACGGGCCTATAGACCAGATCGACGACCTTTGAATGGCTGAAAGAGTGTCGGAAGGCATTGGAAGAACAAAAATCAATACTGACTGGTGCGCAACGGGCGTTCCGGAATAGCGAATCGTGCTGACGAAGTCCCAGCCCTCGTGGTGGCCGATCGGCGTGTGGAGAAACCCATCACTAAAAGGAAGTTTGGAAGCTGCTACGCACGATCTACTACGTCTTGTAAATAATATACATCCATACGTCTTCTAGGTACACATCGGATAAAGCTAGCAGCGCAGCGCTGATGTTAAGCTTTTTTAAAGAAATTGTTTAATATCGAGCGCGGTCAAAAAACTTTGTAAAATGAATAGCGGTTGTTTTTTCGTATTTACTAGAGCTTTCAAATAATGTAAAAAATTATCTCGATCCTGCCCTTTTCCTGGCTGATAGACTCTAGCCGCTACAGGGGGGTCGATTTATTTTGGGACACCCTGTGTAAATCAGGATCCTGCTTTTGGACGGGCTGTAAATCGTCAAAAGGAGCGTTGACCGGGGCCGTAACAAACCCGAAATTTCGGGGAGCGCGCAAAAATTTTTTTGCTAAATCGACCAAAAATGTAGCACCGCGGGCAAAATTTTTGAAAACACAGGTTTTATATAATACTAAAAATAGTGTTAAAAACCGCCAAAAACAGCCCGGAAATTTGGAAATTTGGAAAAAAAAATTTTTGGAAAATGAAATCATCAAGGTCCCCCTTACTTTTCGGCCTTCGGCCGATTCCCCCCCCCCTACGGGCTTGGCGTTGACCCAAAGGTTGCGACCGCATTTCGTGCATTTTGCCCGTTCGAGCCTTGGAAACCATGTAACCCGACCACAACTTTACTCACAACCAGGCCACGATCAGCACGACTCCCTTGGACGATAAAAGTTGAACCGCTTTCATTTCTTGCAGCTGAAATGACTCGAGTCGCACAGGCAATTCGCATTCGTAGGAGACATTCTCTCGTTGATCATGGTACTAAAATTTTTGTATAATATTTGTTTGTTCTCCAGTATTTTCTGTCATCCAATTCAAGTTGGGGATGTTTTTAGCGCTTAACCCGGGGTGAAAAGCCGCTACGCGATTTTCAACCCTGGCCCCGTCTCCCTGCTCCCCACGTTGCATGATATTCCCGGATTCCGATAAGAAAAAAATGAAAAGACCGCTCTCGGTCAATTTCTAGGCTTTACCCCACTTCCGGCGTATGCTAATTAATTCCTAACAAAGAAGAAGCCAGAAATTTTCAGAAAAACTTGAATTGAAGTAGAAAATACAGGGTGTCCCAAAAAAATCGACCCCCCTCCAGCGGTCCGGACGAAAGTCGGATCGGGATGATTTTTACATCATTTGAACGCCCTTAAAACGGCGAGAAAACAAGCGCTTTTCGCTTTACAAAATTTTTTAGCCCGCGCTCGATATTTAACGATTACTCAAAAAAAGAGTAAAACCAGCGTTAGCAATCAACTGACATGCTGATTTTGCATAAAATTGGTCGTTTCATAGATTTTGGTTCCAAATTTATTAAATAAGTGATCTTGAAAAACGAAAGACTGATTTTCTCGCCTTTTCGTGAGCTTTCGATAGATACCTTAATCGTCACAATCGGACATGACTGCGGCCCGCTAGAGGGGAGTCGATTTCTTTTGGGGCACCCTGTAGTATGATTCCTTACAAAATCTCAAAGGTCTCCGAAGGACGCACCTAATAACGTAAGATATGTGGCCTAAGACCCTTCCCCTCTTGTTGCTCCTTACTCAGATTCGCTTTCGAAGTAGTTAGCGCACATTTGACGTCTCAATCATATTAATACAAGGTATTTTTCGCGTCAACTAAGTTATTCGTAAAGCTTACTGTGAATTCGTAGCCCTCACGCCGTACCTTCGCGGACAATATACAAGGGTGATCAAACAGAGCGTCCCGGCTGAACATCTTACTAGACTGGAAATGAGGGTGGTACCTGGGATTGTCGAAGTAATGCACTGTTGGAAGGTGGTAACTATAACCGTCGAAGTATTCGCGTGGCGTTTGCCTCAATATCTCAATTCCCTCTGCAGAAACTCAATCATGGGATAGATAAGCCTGTCACACCTCCCATCTCGAGACCGCTCGAGTTTCTCTGATGAGTTGCAATACCGATCAAGCCATTTTTCAGGAGAAACAGGTAGCTTCTCTGCCGGATATTGTAGTCCAGCACACGTTCCACTGTTACTCTTAGCAGCAACGCATATTGCAACATAACGGCACCAAGGCCAGGAGCGCGCCTGAAAAGCATGATGGTTTTGAAAATCGATAGCAAAATCTTCGACAATACACAAATTGTTAAGGTTTCTGCTTCATTAATACCGCCGTACGCCCAGCAGCTTATGACATACCCAACCGGAAACCTCCGGCCCGAAAGCATTTTGACGAGCAGAGTTTGCTGAAATTTTTACAAGGAGACATGTTTTTGAGACTTTCAAAGGCGGTCAGTAATTTACATCTTAGAAAATCTATATTTGACGTACCGACGAATGTACCGATGCAGCAGAAATTGTCGGATTAATCACTTCGTATGTATATTGCGCATCGTGCTTGTAGCTTCCGGGCTTGATGAGGGCGAGTCCGCCAAATGTGCCGCCAATCGGCTGCAGGAAAGTAAGAAGTTCACGGAATTATCTCTACCTTGGCGGCCGCCCCTCGACAACTACATGAATGTATCCGCCCGACGCCCGGGGAAAACATCCTTGCGAACAACAACTTATCCGCGTCTATGGAGTACTGCAACACCACTTCTGAAAAATCGGCATTGATCGAAGTGTCGCTTTAACTGATACGATACTTGTGTTGTCCCTGGCTAAAAATGATTTAAAACGCATTTAAAACCTCTACCGTTGACCGTGACGAAGTAAGTAGCCAATGCATTAGAGATGGTATCTTTGGCCTTTTTCCACAGAGAATAGCTGAGATGGCGATTCGGAACCGCGACGTCTGCCCCAGAATCGTAAATTTGTACATCATGCATCTGCAAGGGGCTTAATTTATCAAGAATGACGCGGCGACAACGTAAATTCTCCTATTTCAGCGAAATTTATCAGAATGCGCGCCAAAAACGCACCACACCACTGTCCACATTGAGATAGACAAGCGTATCCATCGTGGCGATCAGTAACTGATTCTTATAGAGCAGCATGTCCCAGCCGTCGATCGACGCGGTGTTGGCCTAAAAGTGCAATTATTCCGATACTGTAAAAATCGACAAACCGGCCGCCAAGGAAAACTTTTTCGAGCTTTTGGGTCGATAGATACATAAATTATTTCGTCCGAGCCCTGGACGTAAAAGGCAAAGCTGCCATCCGAAGTGGAAGATATGTAAAACGTAGCTCTTCGCCTGTAAGTTGGATCGCAAAATAAAGCTAACAATTAACTCACGCGTTAAATAATGGCGGGTCAAGTTGTTTTGGGCTCGGATCCAGAAGATCGATTTTTAGTAGCTTATTGGGCGCGGCAAGCTGAAAAAAGGATTTGGATCTTTTGGTAATTTGCTGGACATTATTTTACGCCCCGCGCAGCCAGAAGTTCCCAAAACTTTTCGAGATTTCGACTATTTTTTTGGAATTTTGACTACGGATTCGATAGACTAGAAACTTCCGACTGAGGGTATGGTAAAAGTAGGTAAAAGGGTAAGTCTGGCCTGGAATATGCTACCTTACCGTGAGCTTCGTCCCGTCGACGACAAAAGCGGCGTTGAGCGGAAATTCGCGGGATTTGTAGGAGTCCCGCGTAAACTGTTTGACTTTATTGCAGGGTATTGCCTGATCCCCACTAAAAAATTGTCGATTAGAAGGTTTTATGTTCTTTTAGCAGCAAAAATATACCTCTCAAGGTTCGCAAAAATCACTTCCAGCTGATCAAGTACCGTATATTTTAGGCAACGCGATATGATGACCAGCTTAGGCTCTAAAATTTAAGAAAACGGAACTTGATATTGTTCTCCTACCAGCTTTCGTTCCCCATTGGATTATCTGCGTAATCTCCTGGGAGTCATCGAAAATTTTAACCAGCTTTTGCCGCGAAACATTAGGCGGCAAGCTGTGGTCGTCCTCGGGTTTGTGGAATTCAATGAAGTGGCCGATCCCTTGAAGGACTTCGATTTTGTAGCAAAAACCTACCAGATACGATATAGACGGCTCCGTTACTAAGCGCCAGGGGGCAAACGGCGGTCCTCGGCAACAGGCAGGGCGGGAATTTTTGAGAAGCCATGGATCTGAAATTTCTGTTCAAAGAAAGCAATTTTTTCAACCAACAGATTGCATATTTGTAGAAAAAAATTGGCCGTTACCCATTGTTTTTCATGAAACTAAAGATAAAAGTTTTAGCTAAAGAATCTACTTTTTAGAAGCTGAATGCTTCAACCTAATTAGGCGGTAAAATTTGAAAAATATACAATGAATATTCAGCCTAAGTGAACGTGAGTTAGCAGAACCCTCACTTGGAAATATTTAAATCACTATTTAATTAAAGAAAGCAAAAAAAATAAGAGAATTTGGATAAAAGCGTTCAAAGCGCGGCTCGCGTATGTTGCCAGGGCTTCGATTACGCGATCTAAACCTCGACATGGTGGATGGAAAAAGGGCTGGTCAGGATGCCCGGGGCAAGGCAAGGCCACACCTGGCCAAAAAATTGGCAAGGGGTGAGATGGGGTAGGCCAGGTACCCTGAAAAAAACTCGTAAGAAATGTTAAATACCGCAGAATGTAAAGAGTGGCGGTTGTGAGAAGTGAAAAGTCACGGAACGGTGTAGTGAATCCTGAATATTTTTTATTCAGCATTATTAACGATATGGCTCCAAAACTACAGGGTGTCCCAAAAAAAGTACCCCCCTCTAGCGGGGCGAAGCAAGCTCGGATCGGGCTGATTTTTACACCATTCGAAAGCTCTCGAAAAGACGAGAAAACAAGCGGTTTTCGTTCTTTAGAATTTCAGCTGATTTTATCGCCATTCAACGTTTTTCAAGAAAGAGGGTAAATTGTCAACAGGAATTTCGCAGTTATCATGCAAATCTTGCATAAATCAGTGGTTTTCATGGTTTTTGGATGTAAAATGCGCAAATAAAACTATCTCTCTCTCCCTCTCTCTCTCTCTCTCTCTCTCTCTCTCTCGCTCTCTCTTTCTCCCTCTCTATCCCTCTCTCTTGCTCTCTATCTTTCGCTTTTTCGCTCTCTTTCTCTCTCTCTCGACTCCTCGTGATGTGACTGAAAACACATCTCCAAAAGCTTCCTGATTTTTTGAACATCTCAAATACCTTTGATGCTCTCCGGGGAATGGCGTAATTATTGCTTCGAACTTGCCGAACCCACTCTGATTCCCTAAAAAGCCGCTATGAAAATTGGGGACGTAATTCGCTGTTTGTCCAGCAAGTACACGAACCTTAATTAAAGGGTTGTTATTCACGACTTTTTCTCCTGAAACGGTTCGGTCTGCTCGCTGTCATTACTCATATTTCGGATAGTTGCGACGTCTAATGCTATCCTTTTTTCTGATCTACTTATCTTACGGTATTCCATCGCTATTATTACTGGTGCTAGTAATTATTTGTATAATCCGAAACCGAGCTGCACTTTACAGCTCTTTT